TTCCAACAATCCGACCAGGAAAGCGGAAATATTTATGCGGATTCCGACAACAATCCGAATGCCCTATGTTCCCAGTAAGGAGGGGATTTGAAGGCTAATTCTGGCGTTTTAGGGCTTCCGAGGACCATTCTAAAACTATTTAACCTTTCCGAATTTCCACTTTCCGAATGAGAAACCCGAATTTCTGACTTTCCGAATGCAAATAATTATTTATTTATTCGGATCATTACTTTGGACTACGGGTACCTACCGTACGACCAAGGTATGATTCCGAATGCTCAAAAAAAGCAATTATTTTAGCGAATGCGAGCCCAAATCATGTATTATTTTCCACTTTCCGACCCTAAATCCGAATCGCCTAAAGGTACCCCGGTACCCTTATATTTGAGGCTTTTAACGTGTGCCGGTACGTACCGTTTAGTCATGGGGCCTTTGCAATCACTTTCCGAACGGAATTTAACAGCTATTTTCGGTTTCCGAAAAAGCAGAATCCGACTGCTTATCGGGAGTTTCCAACTTTCCGAATGCAAATAATTATTTATTTATTCGGAATCATACCTTGGTCGTACGGTATTTCGGAAGCGGGTAGCAGCCACCAGGTGGTCTTGCCTGGCCGGTCTCTTCAAGTTCTGTTCGTCTTCCTTGACATCGTAATTTTAATACACTAGATTTCATCGCATTCGACAGACAAAGTTTCGGCTATTCATTCGTGCAGTGATCTGTGCTTGGATCCAACGTGGATTCAACTTCGTCGTCGAACAAATCACTGCACACAAAGCTGGCTGACTATACCTGGATTTTGGCCGGCGTGAGACGACTACCGTACTACCTACGACTACCTACTACCGTACCAATTGTCCGGTTGGGCAACAATTAAATATTCTTTGACTTGCCCAAAAATCTGAATTAAGAATAAATTCCAATTAAAGATTTGCAAGTCTTTTTGCCCCGTAAAAAAACAAATAAATGGATAAATGAAGCTGCCCAAAATCCATGAGATACGAAATTAATTATTGGGCAAAAATTTGCCCAACCAGACAATTGGTACGGTAGTACTAGCATCATCTCCCCCTGGCGCAAAACGTACAAAACTTGTGAACTCCTTTCGAAATTTCGGACGCGGACGGTCTCTGCCCGG